AAAAAAAAAAAAAAAAGAATGGAGCTGGCCCCTCGTCGCATACCATATACAAAATTAACTCAAATTGAACTAGAGACTTAGCACACTGAGTTGAATCTACAGAATGTATACAAAATTCAAAGGAGTAAAGTGTCTTGACTTTAGTCTGGATGATGATGTTTTCATGTAAAACTATGACTGATCACCAGCGAAGTGTACACAAAACCCGAGAGAGCACCTCACACCCGTGACATGGCCATTACAAAAAAGACAAAAGGCCATACGTGCTGGCAAGCATAGAGAAAAAGGAACCATTGACTACTACCGGAAAGGATGTAAGTCAATATGGCCACTATGGAAGGGAGTATTGAGTCTTCAAAAATTAAAAACAGACAAAAGTTAAAACCAGAATTATCCTGCTACCCAGCATCTCAAGCATGGGTGTGTATCTAAGGGGTGAAGCCAGGATGTGGGAGATGCTCGCGCATCTCATGCTCATCTCAGCGTTACGTACAACAACTAAGTGTGGAATCAAATTATTCGTCTACTAATGAATAAAGAAAATACGGTACATAACACTCGTCAGTTAAAAAAAAAAAAAAAAAAAAAAGGAAATCTTGGTATTTTTGACAACACCGATAAACATGGATTCCACGCTCACTGAATAATCCAAACAGCTACACGCTCACGCTCATACGTGGCTAGTAAAGCAATCAAGTTCATAAAAGTTAAATGCTCACAGAAGCCGAGGGTGCAGAATTGGGTAGTGTCAAAGGGCAAAAATCATAGTCCTGCTGGATAAACTGCATGACCGCATGCACGAGATGGAACACACAGCTCAGTGACTATAGTTAGTAATACTCTATTACATTCTTGAAATTTACTGAGAGTAGATTTTAAATGTTCTCTCTCTCACACACACACACACACACACATACATGCACACACACTTGCACATACACACACACACAGTAACTGAGGTGATGAATATGTACAGTGGCTTTTTTTTTTTTTTTTTTTAGGGAAAAGTCTACAGGATATTCAGGGTCTCACTACTGGATCGGACTCGTAGTGATCGCCTGTTTACCTCCTCCCGAGAGCTAGGACTACAGGTGTGAGGCACCATACCCAGTCTCAGTTGCTGTCTCAGTGTGCCCCAGGGGCAGGGCCGGCATGGCAGGCCTGGGAATTGAACCCCCGGCCCCCGCACTTACTTGCAGGCACTTTAATCTGCTGAGCTATTTGGCCAACCTCGCTGTACAGTGGCTTGATGGTACTAATCACGTCACACTGTATATTTATTTCAAAATACTCCTTAAATATGTGCAAATTTTGTTTGCCATTTATACCTCTAAGTCTGAAAAAAATCTGTGAAGTTTATGTTGATACCCAGTAGTTTTTTAAAACTACTGCTATTAACCCAAGTTGTAAGCCCTTCATTCTTAGTCTAAATCTTACTAATTTTGACCCTGAAATCTGACTAATAAGAAAGGCACAAATCGGAGATGAAACTGAGCAGTTCCAGGAGCTCAGGACAATTCTCTCAGTGACGGCTGCCAAGTATGAATGAGACTGAAGGCAGCCCTCAGGGCATGAGAGATAGCTTGTTGACAGGTGATTGATGCAATTTTCCAACATGAAAATTTAAAAAGTATGTTCTCTAAATATCTTCAGTTTCCATATTGTATAATTCATGTTAATGATTAGAAATTAACCTGAGAAAGAGAAATTTTTGTAATGTAAAAAAAGTAAACATTAATGGAAAAAACTGAAGACGCAAATGAGTGAAATGACATCTTATTTAATAATTTAATGTTATCAGCTTTGAATTCATAAGCTTTCCTTGTCAAATATATGAAAAGAAAAAGAACAAAATACACTAAGGAGGAAATGTGCTTAGGAAAGATAGAGAAAGACCACGGAGTCTACAGAAGAGCACAGAGCAAATATAAAGCAGTATAGAAAAAAGCAAGTGAAAATACGAAACTGACCCATGGCTAGGTGACTGCAGGGTTCTTATTGATCAGCCCTGTTTCTAAGATAATTTACCGTGAAAGCCCTTAATGTTATAATGCGTGTCACTCTGATTCTAGAGATGTGGAGTGCATTTAATTTGCATGAAACTCAACTGCAGCGTACCTATCTGCAGCTCACCACTGAATCTTCATAAAACAACCAGAAAATCTAGCACCAAGCACGGCCAGACAGGCAGTGTCCTGTCCTCTCACACACACTATCTAATTCAGGCTTGAAACATCTGAGGTCCTTGGGGGCAGTTTTCCTAATGATAGAAAGAGCATCTTATTTTAAGGGCTGACTTTGCTCACCGATGGTCAATACTGGCCCCTCTGGGTAATTTCCTTTGCACTCAACGTGTTGCCTTAGGGAACGAAAATTCCACAGCACATACCTCAGTATGGACACAGTTATAGGAGTGCCAGCCATAAAGGTAAAAATCACTGTAATAAAAAAAATGCCAAGGAATAAGGGCAAGTTGGTACAGTGAGTTTCGCATTTTCCAGCTCTTGCTTCAAAGTCCGCACTCTCTGTAGACGTAATTTCTGCCTTCTTTCCAACACAGGAGCAGTTGTAATATATCTGAAAATATGAGAAATAAACCTTATCAAAAGTGTTTATTATGAAAATATATTTTATCATTATAAATCAGATAATCTCTATACATCTCTCAAATTGTTCTGATCCATATATAATATGTAATTCCGGGAAACATTAATCAGTATTTAAAACTTAAGGAAGGGGCTGGTGAGAGGGCTCAGTGGTCTAAAGCACCTACTTAGAACAAGCTTAGCAAAGCACAGGGACCGCGGTTCAATCCCCCAGCATCACATGCCAGCCAGCCCCGCCCCCTGGTGGGCTGAGCGGGCCACACACACACACACACACACACACATAAATAAATAAATATTTTTTTAAAAAACTCAAGGAAGTAGATACAGTGCTTATGCAGTTTACTCATCTGTATTTGTCTTCTGTGGCCATTACTACATCTTGCAACCTAGCATTGGTTTGTGACTTAGAAAACAAATTGATGAGAATATAGCAATTACATGAACTCACACATTCTCAGCTACTTTCCATCCGCCATAATTACTCAAATAATCTTTTCCTGCTAACATTCTTATCATTTTTTTAAAAAAAATGTATTGAGAAAGAAGTAGCACCACTCTGCGTTGGAGCTGACCCACCCACAAAGACTCAAACTTCTAGAGTGTAAACCAAAATAAACCTGTCCACCTTTAAACAATGGACTGGCTGCAGTTCAAAGCTGTCCTACCTGCCAAATTCCTAGTATAATGCCAGATTCTAAAAGGAAGGGGTCAACTCAGAATTAGAACACTGTGTGTAGTATGTTTATTGACAAAGAATGATAAAGTAAAAGTTTAATGTTCTAGAAAAAACCCAAAAGATTTTAAACTGCACATACCATACTAGTCTGTTTGGTCTACTATGTTCACCACCATTTTTGATCGATTTTTCAAATAATTTGACCAAATAATATGAAAAGGAAGTTCACTGTGTATCACAGTTGGTTTACCCCTAGCAGGAAGAGCAAAACCTAATCTATTGAGATAAACCTTTAAGTATGTATTATACATGAGTTCATTAAAGGTAAGTACATATGTGTATTTACAAATACTACATGAACATAAAAGTATAAAATTTCACCCACATGTATATCCATGTTGGCTTTGAAAGAAATCTGTAGTACATCTATAGATTATTTCAATTAATTATTTTTGTTTATGCAGAAATCTTTTCTTACAGCTTTCAACTTACCTTCAACAGGAAAAGAAAAGTCATTTCCTTATACCATATTTCATAGATACAAGACTGCCATTCTTAGATAGCTTCTTCATTAGTTTTTGTACCACAGTGTGTTTCTGCCAAGTATTTTAAAAGACATCTTTCACATTATCTACTAATGTACATTATTTTACCTACTACTCAGAATCTGAGTTACCATCTGATGGAAGAGGAGCACAGGAAACACACACACACACACACACACACACACTGCACAACCCTACTAGAGGGATTAAATCGGAAACACACAAAGACATACACTCATGGGGGTAAAGCAGCAGGCACAGTTACCTTTGGTTCACTGTTCGAAATGTAGTTTAAGCAGCCTGCAAAGCAGGGAGAGAAATATTGGACTCCGTCTCCTCCACACAGTGGATAATAATAAGATCGCAAGCAGTTACAGTTGGCATTACAAGGGGCCGTCAAGTTCCCCAGCTCTCCTGTCCTGTAAGAAAAGGTGGAGTGTGAGATTGTCTATCATATCTCCGTGAATGGACACTTCAGAAGCACTGTCACCTCTTTCACCATTCGGTCACTCGCTTGTTCAACACATCATTACACAGTGTACAAGTCATAGATCTGCCTTTGTAAGACCAATTTCTTATGTGGGACAGGCAGTCAAAATAACAGTGATGTCTGCTAGTGATATAAAATGTATAGCAGAGGAAGTGGGGAAAGCAAAGTTTCACCTCTGGTGCCAGATAGATCCTGTGGGGTGCAGGGTCTGCAGACAGTGAGCTGTCCAGTAGCATTCCCAACCTCCACCCACCAGAAGTCAGTAGCACTCAAATGCATTACAGCAGTCAACTATCTCCAGAAAGTTGGAAAAATATTTAGTCTCCAAAGGTGAATTCGAGCTAGTCAATTTGCCAATGAAAAATGAAGGCTTCGAGAGCTAAAGTCACTGTAATTTCCTTACCCAATATAATTTTCCCAGGGTTGCTTCATTCTGCCTCTTAAGAGAAGCAACATCCTTCATGACACCGAGGATTACTCTACTTAGATTCTCCTCCTGGGTCTCATCATTCATCCGTCCACCCACACACACTGAACAAGTGCCACCTTCTACACTGATAATGGAAGGAAAAAGCTAAATAAAACAGTCCACAGCCTCAAACATGTCAGAGACAGGTATAGCGCTGTACTCAGTTAATTAGATACTAAAAGCTAATTGTGGTTCCTGGTATCTGCAAAGTATGGTTTAGAAGCACCAAGGAAAGACCAAAACACAAGCCAAAGTTTGGAGAAGAGAAAATAAGCAACTAGAGCCTGATCTGACCTTAAGATGTGAGTGCAGTCTGCCCATGGGGGAAAGAAGATAATGCCCAAGGGATAGCAAATGTCATGGGACAGCAATCTGGGGCCACATCAAGGAGGACCTCCCGGACCTTATTAAAAACAACAAACTCTGAATCACTGGCGAAAGATAATCACTGAAATATTTTGAGACTGGAAAGTGGTATTTTCAAGTGTTAATTTTAAAGCAATAATCCTAGAGGTTGTACAGAATATGAACTTGAAGGAAGGAGACAAATTATGATACCCCAGACAAGAAGTGATGACAAGGTAAAGGAGAGCTAAAACCCAAGACAGGATTGTAGGAAGCCCCGGAGGAGAAATTCTGGATATATAATCAGTGCTTCCTCTAAAGGACTGACAAGGACAGACCAAATAGTTCAGCAGATTAAAGTGCCTGCAAGCAGGGGCTGGGCCTGCTGTGAGGGCCCCACTCCCAGGGTGCACTGAGACAGCAATTGAGACTGGGTGTGGTGGTACACACCTATAATCCCAGCTCTGAGGAGGCTGTAAACAAGTGGATCACTACAAGTCCGATCTAGTAGTGAGCCCCTGAACACCCTGTATACCCTTCCCTAAAATACTAAATAAATAAATGGCTGACAAGCTAACGGGTGACTCCTACATTGTAGAACAGAAGAATCAGGTGGGGAAGAGGTGATGAGCACACACTTATGCACACGAAGATTAAGAGATGCAGATCTGGTGAGGAAATTTGGCCAGAAGCCATATATTTTACGCAGTAGAGGTCTTCATGCCGAACTTCACACCCAGCTCTTTCTATTTTGAGACAGGATCTCATTAAGTCACTGAGCTGCCTCCGCTGGGCTCCAGATTGCAATCCTCCTGCCTCTGCCTCCCCGAGGCAGAGATTACAGGTGTTTGCCACCATGTTGGGCTAGAAATCTTAGTGTTTGTTTACAGATAGATGCAGTGGAAACTATGAGAGTGGGTGAGACTGGCCTAACATAGTACAGTGGGAAGAGTACAGGGGACCGGGGTTACTTATTCACTGAATACTTAGTGAACGCCATCTGGGTGCTAGGTCATTGTAAAAAATGCATCTAAAAGACAGGAAGAGCCAGAGGCAGAGTTGAGAGGGAAGCTAGGCATGGTGGTACATGCCTGTAATCCCAGCTACTCGGGAGCCTGAGGCAGAAAGATATCAAAGTTAAGGCCAGAGTGGAAAATTTACAAAATGAAGATGAGATCAGTGATAGAGCTCTTGGCTAGCTATGCCTGAGGACCTGGGTTCAATCCCTAGTACAACAGAAGGAGAGAGACAGAGACAGAGAAACAGAAAGAGACAGAGAGAGAAAAGAGGGAGGGAGAGATGGGGGAAGATAAGCAGAGGGAGCAGGGGAAGATGACAAACAAAAACCAAATCTTTGGAATTCTGAAGGACAAGGGAAAGCAAATAGTGGACTATTAGCAACCTACCCCTCTGCTGGGGTCTCATCTTACCCTAACCTATTCTATAGGCTGCTGAGAGATTCATCTAACGTACAGAATGGAACATACAGAATGTAAGACAGCATAAAGCAAACTACAGGACAATTAAAGGTGCAGAATATCTACCTCTGTCAGCAAGGGCTGTGCACATTCGCCAAAGGATTTCATGAAGATTTCCTCATGAATAAGGGGGAACTTGTGAGTATGAAAGTAGTAAGTAAATATAAAGTATATTACACAGTATGTACAGATTAGTAAGAATATTTAATATTCAAATTATTTTTAAATTATTCAAAATAGTTTACTTGCAAATTATAATTTTGCCTCTGGGGTAGGCAAAGATTTCACTACAATTATTGTAAAATCTTACTAGATATAGAGTTTTAAGGAACTATTTCATATAAACAATGAAATTCTACCTGTAGGAATTTGCAGAAAAACTACTGTGCACACTTACTATTATTTCATATTTTATGAGGTTGTAAGTATAAAAACTCATCATCATTATCAAAATAAGACTTCAAAATACTATAGAGATTATCAAGGCATGTAAAATAATGGAAATTTTCATAAATAATAGGTCTCTGCAAACACGCTTAGACAATCTCAAGTAAATTTAGTATTGCATCCTAAGGCTCAGTAATAAACTGATTACTGTTATATTGCACAACTTTGAGGCATGATCCCTGTCATATTTATATTTTTTGATATACACACATATCTAAGCATACATATATAGATATCTATACATATACATATAGATACACAAACATGTATACACACATATACAGATCTAAGTATACATATAAAGACACACATACATAAACTCAGAAGAGTGGGGATGGGGGTCCACACACTCATGGTCAGCTTTTGCACCACTAAGAAATATAAGTGTACCTTAGGCACTATCTCTACGCTCCAGGTTGATGGGGCTTTACGCTCCACACCTCCGACACCTCACACGACACCATCACACTTCCCTGCCTTTCTGCAACACCAAGGACCACACACAGTTGTGTAAGTTATTAAAGACTGAACAGACTGACACCTACCCCATTGCTCAGGGTGCTGATCTATGTGCTAAACTATTCAGAATTGTCTGTCTTTCTAAAAGGACTATAAAGAGACCATGGCTTGTTAGGATAAGTTTGGGTGAGGCTCTAGGGGTAAAAAAGTCTGCAGAACTTTATCTACTTGTCACCATTCCCAGGTATTTTTCTACTACTTCTAGGCATATAACCCAAGTCCCACTCAAGCTGATCCCTGCATCTAGCCTCCACCTTTTCTAGCATTTCTGCCCTATCTGTGCTTAGCCCCTTCCCTTAGCACCTGTCTGTCCTCTCAAATCTGAAGTCTTTGCAGCCCTTAAGGATGTTTAAACCAATTCCACTCCTGGCCAGTGAAAGCTTTCCTGAGTGCACTTGATCAAAACAGAACAGTTTTCCTTTTTGGAACTTTACCTTCCTTCCCACACCCCCGTTACCTAGGTCATTTTTCACTGTGTTGTCTTCCAAGCTGCCCTTAGGACTCATGCTTGGGCCCCTAGGTCTGCCAGGGGACTCGATGGACAAATGCTGTGCAGATGTCACAGAGCTTCACAAGCACTGCTTCCCACCCCTCGCCTCATGGCAACATGAAGGACAGCAGACATGAACCACAACTACAACCAGTTGTTACTGTTACAGGTAAACATCTCCCAGCAAATTATATTTCATTTGTGTCATTTGAGTGATGGATTACACAAAACTGTGGAGTCCTGGGCCTGGAGGACACCTCCCTCACTGGCTTCATGCACATGGAATGAAATAATCAAAGCAACGCCGTGAGCTCTAACACACACTCCTGTTTAGTACTCTCCTGCGTGAACCCTTACTCCTGGCTTAGGATTTCAAAGCCAAAGTAGGCAAACAAGGAAAGATAAACAGTCAAACTGGTTTAAGGCAGGAAACACTCTACAGGACCAGCTAAGATTTAAGAAGCCTTTATTTCTGTACAAAATCCCTGAATTTGAAAGTAAATACATAGTAACACCTGGCTATCTTTATTTTAAGCTCTCTTCTAGCCTATTCTCAAACTGTTTATTAAGATGATTTTTTATAGGGAATAAATTTCATTTGTTAATTTCTTTTAAGAGAACTATAATGTGAAATTCTCCCTATGATACTGTCTTAGTCTGTTGTTGTTTTTCTTTTCTGCTGTATCAAAATACCCGAGACTGGCTCATTCATAAATACCATTTATGTTTGCATGGTGAGGGCATCACAGGGCACAGCAGGGCAAGCTGACATGGCTTTCTCTTCCTCCTCTCAACAAGGTTACTAACACCTTCGGGGGAGGGGGGGCACCACCCTCATGACTTCTTCTAATCTTAAGTATCTAGAAAGCCTCACCTCCAAATGTTGTTAAAATGTGGATTTCAGGACGGTTTCTTTTTTTTTTTTTTTTTTTTA